GACCTTGTGGCTGCCTATAAGTTCATCACGGGGGCACAGAAGGGAATTGGTGAGGTTTTATTCACCAAGGCTCCCCCGGGGGTTACAAGAAATAATGGCCACAAGCTAGCAGAGAGCAGATTTAGACTGGACATTAGGAAGAACTTCTTCACAGTTAGAGTGGCCAGGGTCAGGAACGGGCTCCCAAGGGAGGTGGTGCTCTCCCCTACCCTGGGGGTCTTCAAGAGGAGGTTAGATAAGCATCTAGCTGGGGTAATCTAGACCCAGCACTGTTTCCTGCCTATGCAGGGGGTCAGACTCGATGATCTATTGAGGTCCCTTCCGACCCTAACATCTATGAATCTATGAGCTCCCCAAGGGATGACAAGGTCTAGTCGCCATAAACTCCAGGAAGGCCAAATTAGACTGGATATAAGAACAAAGTTCTTTACAGTGCATGTGTCCAGGGTCTGGAACACACTCCCCCAGAAGGGGTGCAAGTGCCTACTCTGGACTCTTTCAAAAAAATGCTGGATTTATTTCTTGCTGGGGTCACTTGATCCCAGCTGACTTCCTGCCTATGGCGGGGGGGCTGGACCTAATGATCTCATGAGGTCCCTTCCAGCCCCTAACGTCTATGAAATCCATAGATTGGCATGTGCACACGCAAGCACGCGCGCACACACACACTCTTCTTCAAAAAGACTAATTTCCCAAAGCTAAGGAGTATTATGAGCAAAACCAAAAAACCAAATTGGGAAGAAATTTTTTAAAAAATGAATCACAATTGGAAAATCTTTAAGAATAGCCATGGACATAAAGGTATGAGTCCACAATCAGGAAAGAGGATATTTTTTCATTAAAAGCCTTTTGTTATTTCTTGGCAAAAGGCAGGCAGCAACTAGAAATACCCCTCCCCCCACCCCAATAATACCACAAATGGAAAAAAGTAGGGCAAATAGCAACTGAAATAAAACAGAATTTTTGAAGTGCAGAAACTTAATAATGGAGACCAAAGACAGAAAAATCCATGGCTAGTAGAAACTGGGACCAAAAAAAAGCAGTTAGAAACAAGAGATATCCCAAGTTTATTCCTAGGCTGAGATGATAAAATTCTTCATAATGACAAAGAAATGGCAGAAGCATTCAGTAAATATTCTTGCTCTGTATTAGAAAGACGCAGGATGACAAACCTGTATCATACAAGGAAATTACTTCCCAGGTCATTAGTAACCAAGTGGATGGCAGAGTACATCTATTAGGAACAAAACCCAGGCCAGGATAACTTGTACCCAAGAGTGCTAAAAGACTCAACTGAGGATCTCTCTACCCATTTTTAAATAAATATTGAAATACCAAACCCATTTCAGAAGACTGAAAGAGTACAAACGTTATGTCAACATCCAAAATGTTTAAGGGGATGACCTGGGAAAAACAGGCTAGTTAAGCTGTTATCTGTCTTGGGCAAAATGGAAACATGACGTGGAATTCAGTAAATAAAAGACAGCAGTATAATTTATGCTGGGCACCATGGCTTTATGAAAAACATGTCTTATCCAGTCTTCAATCTTTCATAAAATGTAAACGATTAGTTGATATGTTCAACCACATAGATACACTAGATTTTTGTAAGGTATTTTACTTAGCAGTACATGGAATTCGGATTAGCAGAAACTAGCAGTGTACAAATAAAGTACATACTGAACAAATAAAAAACCTTGTAACTGAAAGAAATCAAGGAGTAGATGTTGGCAGGGAATCACTGCCAAATTGGAACATCTGTTAGGGTTCTATACGGCCACCCAATGCTATTCAATATTATCACTGAGGAACAGGAAGTAACACAAAATCACTGGTAACAGAAGGTGCAGATGACTCGAGAGTGGTAAATGACCCTGAGGACAGGGTAATCATACAGAACAATCATGGCCTAGAGTGTTTTTAATATCATAGCCGGATTTAAAATTACATGTCTAGGGGCAAAGAATTCAGGTCATACCAAGGGTAGGTACAGACATTTGGGGAGGTTAGATCGAGTTAAAAATGGCCACCCGATCTAAGGTAAGCTGGGATGGAGGGTGGCTAGCAGGGATTGTAGGGAACAAGTGGGGTCCATGGGGGGAGTCAGGGGGTTGATGTTTTTAATATCATAGCCGGATTTAAAATTACATGTCTAGGGGCAAAGAATTCAGGTCATACCAAGGGTAGGTACAGACATTTGGGGAGGTTAGATCGAGTTAAAAATGGCCACCCGATCTAAGGTAAGCTGGGATGGAGGGTGGCTAGCAGGGATTGTAGGGAACAAGTGGGGTCCATGGGGGGAGTCAGGGGGTTGAGGAGGCTAGTGGGGTCCAGCAGGCTTTGACTGAATCAAGGGGGCCGGCGGCTCTGCGGGCGAGGTTTCTGGATCCGGGACCTTGCCTGAGCACCACGATGTTTCAAATATCCTTGCCAAGGGAGATGCAGTGATGTCTGCCAGCTCTTTCAAGACCCTTGGATGCATCCATCTGGGCCCGTGGACATGTGAATGTCCAGTTTCTCAAGGTGTTCTCTCACTTGATCCACATCAATTTTGAGTCCATCACCCGCTCCCGAATTGACTTGTGCCATTCCTGGGAGGGTGAAAAACTAATGCAAAAAAGTCATTTAGGAGATTGGCTTTTTTTGGGCGTCTGATGTCGGTTGCCCCATTGGATCTCTCAGGGGCCCAATACTATCCTTGTTCTTTTTTCTGCTTCCCACATATCTGAAGGATTTTTTTTGTTGTCCTTGATCCCTGTAGCTAGCCTAAGTTCAGTTTGTGCCCTAGCTTTTTTCAATAGTATTCTGCAGGTTGGGGGGAGTGCAGAGAAATCCTCTTTGGTAATGCTTCCTGTTTTCCAGCTGGTGTAGGCTACTCTTTTGAGCTTAATGAGGTCCAACAGTTACTTATTCAGCCATGGGGGATTCCTTACCCGTTGACTGCATTTCTTGCAGGAAGGGATGGCTTTGCCTTGTGCTTCAAGGATTATGTTTTTGAGCGATGACCATTCCTCATGTACTCCCTTTTCTGGGGGGGGTCTGATTGCCTGACTGACCAGTTCTCTTAGTTTGCAGAGTTTCCCTTCTCATTCTTATCCATTATACTGAGGTCTAAAATGTAGTTACCTTCAGTTGTATGTAGCAGCTTCCAGATTTAGAAAACAATCATCTATAACTTAAAAAAATATAATTTGATTGCTGGTTTCTTGAAGCCTGTAGCAAAAATCTCTTGGATCAAACCCCCCCTCCACCCATAACATCATAGGCTTTTTCCAGTACATTAAACAGCTGCCTTAGTATTGTTCTGATAATAAGTTGACCTTTTCCTTCAAAAAGAAACTTAAAAATTAGTCAGTTTACACATTGGGCCAACCTGGAATTGGAACAATATGGTAACTCATCATGTTCTCTGGTTTGTTACTGTAAATTCAGTAACAGTACTTACTAGGCCTTCTTCCGGGCTTGGCTGTTTAGTGTATTGATTTATATGCCTTCAGGATCCTGTACTTCTGAGTTATCCATAAATCAAAGTGGTATCTTTAATGTAGTAACAGGTATTGTTTTGTTTGGATGAATGATCACTTTCATCCTGCACTTCCATATAGTACAGAGCACATCAAAGTAGGATAAAACAAGGATCTGCTCTTTGTTTTTTTAATTAAAAAACTTGAATGTGTCGAAGGATTTTAACCCAACAGATTAAGAACAGAAGATATTTTAAAAATTAAATTGCAGTGATTTAGCAGTAAGACCTGACACACAGGCCTTCTGTTGCACCCCAAGCACTGTTCCATGGCATTTCAAGACTGCGGAAGGCCTGGGTTTCCAAAGCATTCTGACTAAAGATCATTGAAGGCAGGCCTTAGTGCCATTACACTTTGGGGATGGCTTTTGATAGGATTGAAAGTTGGTAATGGCTATTAATATTAACATTTTTTTAGGCAAAAGACAATTACCAGGAGACCATCCTACTAGACTTCCAGATTTCCTGGTTTTAATATGTAAAGACTTAAGTGTTAATGGAACAATCACATATTTCAAGATACTGATTGCTGTCTAGTGCTTGGCAGGGAGTTTGGGGGACACAGAGGAAGGGGAAATGCTTTGAAGATGAGAGAACTGTTTTTTGTGTGTCGCAGCTGGTCAGGTGTTGTGCATGACATTTTCTGATAAAGGTTAGTTGTTCATCTGAATTTTGGGGAGCATTAAGATGTACTTAGGACCAGCACAATGTCCAGTGGAAAGATGACCACTGATTCCAATGGGATTGGATTATACTTGTGGAAGAATTAAAAAAATAAGTGTGTGAACCTTTTTTAAAAATTATTTCTGATGCTGTGCTCTGTTGTAACACTGACCAAAGGCATTGCTTTGGTGGGGAGCATTGTCTGATTATTCACATGGTGGTTAGCTTCTCTTTAAAAAGAAAAGAAAAAAAACAAGTGCACTGAGACTTTCAACATGTAGCCGATAAAGTTACTTTTGAAATTCTGTATGAGAGAAGCTGAAGACAAAACCCTTCTATAACTGCTACCCAGGGCTGACAGTAATTGCAAATCTGTCACCTCTGTCTGTCTCCCTAGTTAGTAATTAATTTTGGTCCCTTCTCCTGATTCCACTCTTTCTTGGAACTTGTGCGGTTCTTTTCCTACTTGCCCAGGGCCGTGGGGGTCCCTCTCTCTTCCCAGAACCACTGTTACAAGGAGAAGAGAGAGGAGCATCACCCTGAAATGAGGGTAGGCTCCAAAAAGAAGGGGAGAGAGTTCTGCTTGATTCCTGCAGTAGCTATATTTAGCTGTTCTTCCCGGGAGGTGGGCAACCTGAGCAAGCAGCCAATTGCAGGGGCTTTCACTCCAGAAAGTAGTAATGGTGTGTACCCCTCAGCAATGTAGCTTGCTTTTCAGAAATTTTAGTTCCTAGTTTTGTCCAGTTATGATCTAGCACATTTTAACCACTGTTCTACTTGCTGTACTACTTGCTGCACATTGATCTTGTATTACTACTGCATGAACTTATTTTTGTCTTGAACTTGGTTTGATTTGTTTTCCTCGTTTTGGTTATAGCTGAAGATAGCAAAGACATCCTGACTACACTGGGAGAAAATTTTAACCATAGAGAAAACTCAGGTAAACAGGACTAATGGAACTATGTTACAGTTTATAGGTATTGATCATGTAAGGGATAAGTGCGCCAATAATAATTCTTTTTTTTTAAACCACTAGGTGCCATCGATGATTTGCTAGATCTGAAACCTGAAGAAAATGGTATGAGATGTGTGTGTATTATCTATTTTTCAAAAATAGACATCAAATATCATTTTAATCCTATATTTTAGTTGCCTTAATACTCTGAAAGTTGACTGGGCTTCTAAATAAGGTCATCCACCTACAATACTTAAGTTATGCTAAATAAAACTAGCACTATTTACATAATCTGTGGACAATAAATCTGGTATTGAACTAAAATGTAAACCTACTGGCTGTAAGAGGATTTACTGTACTTCACTTTCTTTGACATAAAACATGATTTTTTTTTTTTTTAGTAGCAACAGATGCAGCTCAGATTTATGTATGCAGGAACGATTACTACAGTACATCATATTTGAGCCATTGAAGTATGTTTCGCTGTCATTCTAGCCCAACCCATAACTTTTTAAATAATTGGTTTTCATCTTTTTTTCCCTCTGTGAGCCCTTATCACCATCCTAGGGATTGGTAGTGGTAGTCCAGTGGGCCCTACAGCTTTTATATCTGAAGTGGGGCAGAGGAAGAGCAGAAGAAATCATTTGGGTCTTGTTAAAAACTTGAAGGAGCTATGTATTTCTTTGATTGTCTTAGTTAATTCAAATAGCTATGTTTTCCATGTGTAAAGGAGAACAATAATCTACCTCCAGTCACTGCTCACATCCTTTGTTCTCATTAGATTAGAAACAGCTCAAAGGCATGAGGATTTCTCAGAGTTGTTTCCCAAATGGCCTGTTTTAGAACATAAGGGCCACCCATCTTCTCCCTCTATTCCAATTAGGAAAGACCTCAACAGTCAGAGTGACACAAGTTATTTGCAGCGTTTATGAAAATGTAGTAGCCAACATTGCATGGAGTAGCTTCACTTCCTCCTGAGTTATCTTGGAGAACCTCAGTCTTCTGGGGTGACTTAAAAAATAAATAAATAAACCTACTATGTATCTCAGTCAGACTGGAAAAAATATTTGGGGATGTCCAAGGACAAGCCTACACAGTACAGAATTCCACATTACAGAATTGCTAAGTAGAGAGAAATATTATTTTGGCTACACCAAGAGCTTCCTCTTGTATGGTGCGGAAATATATTTTCCAGTGCCACAGGGAGACACGTATGTGTAATACGTGGCCCAAAACTCTCCTGTACAGTAATTGAGTTTTGTTATGTGGTTTAATATTAAATATTCTCATAGCGGTAGTGGCCTTTTTTTCTCTCATTTTCACTCACCCAACCATATCTCATGTTGAACTCTCCTATTGGAGACACGTGAAGCCTGCTCTACACATGGTTGGGGCCAGTTTAAACTAATTCAGATATGGGCTTTTTTTTACTCGGATATTTAGAATACCAACCAGCAGAGAGGCAGTTACAACAACAGAAGGATGTTTATGCTGCTAATGCTTATTCCCTGGATTTTATGGGAATAAACTCTACTGGTAAAAGACAAACTTCAGTCATCTAAGAGAGGGTGTACTGAAGGTTTTTTGTACAGGGCCTAACACTCTTTTCTGTGGTGCTGAGCCAACTTTTCTGAAATACTTTCTATCTTCTCTCTAATTTTGTTTTGGATTAATTTAAATTCTCAGTTGGGTAAAGTATTTCTAAAGAAATATTCAGACAAATACAATATAAAATGCCTTACGAGAAAAACAAAAGGCTTCTTACAGATCATAAAGTAGTTTGACATTTCAATCATTTTCTGAAGAAGTTGATAGCAAAAAAAGTGATATAATTTTCAAATGTAAATATGAATATAGTAATGTATTCATTAAAAGCAAGCATAGTGTGGTTTGATGCACTTATGCACACATACATAAGAATTGCCTATCTAGCAGTTTTGATCTGAGCTGTACTGCTGCAAACCTTTTCCTGTTGTGGGTAAATATAATTTGTGGTGAGGTGCAGTAATAGTGCCACATTATCACTACTAACAGCACTCTTAACACATTAACACGTTTCTTCCCTTTATCTTCCCCTGCTAGTCTTTAAACTTCATGAAAGTAAAATATTTCCCCCTGAAGCACTGGGAATGTATGTCATTGTTGACAGATTGGAGTGATAATACCTTAGAAATTCTTAAGAAAGTTATAGCAACTATCATCTCATAGTCACAAGTATGTTATGAACAGGTGAATAAATAGAGAAATATTGGATGAACTTCTAGGAGTTTAGAAGGTGTTAATGTTTTTAGGGGTGTTGGTTGTAGCCATGTTGGTCTAAGGACATAGGCTGCAATGTTTTTTGGGTAGATTTGATACCTTTTATTAGACCAACTAAATAGTTGGAAAAACGTTCTTTGCAAGCTTTTGAGCACAAACACCCTTCTTCAGGCATTGGGAGACTCCAATTGGAAGTCTCCCAATGCCTGAAGAAGGGTGTTTGTGCTCAAAAGCTTGCAAAGAACGTTTTTCCAACTATTTAGTTGGTCTAATAAAAGGTATCTTAATGTTTTTAGTCATTCCTCTGAGACTGGCTAAAAGCAATATGAGATTAGAAAGGTGGGATGAAAATCTCATGAAAATGGTGAGGGGGCCTGGAGTGATCCTTTTGATAATGTCTAGATGATGCTTTTGATGATGTCTGGTAGGAATACGAGAAGAATAAAGTTTTTAGTAATACCTCTATTTTTGGCCCTAGCTTGGGAGTACAGAAGCAAAGGAAAAGGTAAATTTGCATGTTCAACCTCAGATATCTCTTTACTATTGGATAAACATTCAGACTGGTTCTTATTTTATCATAGTATGTAGGCGTTTATATTCTATCCACTCATGAGCCTCTTTAAAACTCAATTCTATCTCTTTTCTTTCCTGTCACTAAACCTGAATTATTCCATTGCAAATTGTTGTGGTCATTGAGAGACGCATCTCTAAGCAAGCGGTTGTTTTTAAATAAAATGTTCCATTGCTCCTGCAACAATTTTGTTTCAAGGGATTCCTGTCTGTTCTTATGGTTTTTCTTCATGCCCAAAATATTAAAAGTCTCTCTTGCATTCTGCATGCAAGCAGAGAGAGCAGGCCTAGCTGGTTGGTTGAAGCTATGCAAAACGAAAGCTGCCCATCATGCTTTACCACATGTTTCAGATGAGTATAATTGAGATAAACTTCAGTTTCAAGCAGTGTGACAATATCAGACTTGTAAACCACTGTTTTCCTCATCAGCAGTCCCTCATCATAGTGTTTAATGATTTATAGAAAAGAATAAAATAATACTAGTTACTTGTATCTTTGTACTGTGATGTAAACAAGTACATTTTGGATTCTAATTGGGACTTGCATATATATATATTTATTTAGGGTTTTTCAGATTTACCTTAACCTTGTAAATAATCTAGTAGTTGCTTTAACCACAGTTCCCACACTTTAGGAAAGAAATGAAGTGGGCATTTCAGAAGTACTTGTCAATAGCTTAACTGTGTTTCCCCTGAAATTAATGGGAGTTTAACATTGACTTCAGTGGGAGAAGAACTTTGCCAATGCTGGGTGTTAGGAAATGCCATCCAGTACATAAAAGAACGTATTCTCTTTGAGACCCCCAAATATTTAGTTCATTCATCAGTGGATCAAAAAATTTAACTGAAGCAAACACTTATTACATATTTGAACTTTGCAACGGTAGCTTTTATTTGTGGTTTGTGCTAGGTTGATTTAAATCATGGGTAAATTGGTCCTTTTAGAGCCTGTGTAACAAGGAGCAAGACAGCAACCGAATGGCAGCCTCCTAAAACTTTTATTAAGCCAAGTAGTAGGCAGTGTTTTGATTTATTGTGGCAGTGTTTTTTTTTTCCCGTGCTACATTTTAAAAGGGGGACAGTCCCAGTGCAGCTGATATTATCTGAAGCTAGTAAAAAAATAGCCTGTTGCATAAACTTCAACCCCAGGGATCCACTGAAAGTAGGATTGAAAACGGGAAACCACAGAAGTCCAGGGGGAGAGTATACAATCTGAATATGACTGAATATTTTAGAGTTGGATCAAGTGTTTTTCAGTTATTTCCCATCTGTCCTGCATTTGTTCATCCAAATGTTAATTCTAGTAATTATCCCTAGTTGTGTCCCCCATTTTGTTTTAAAATAGCTTCAAACTCCCCCGAGCTGGATTCTGGTGAAAAGGATGATATGGTATTGCTAAATGAGATCCTCAATGCTACCTCCTTGGATGAGGGAGAATTCAGCAAAGAGTGGACAGCTGTCTTTGGACAGGACCCACTCACCGATCCCACCACAAACTCCTCAGTCGGAGAAATGGAGACCGCTCCATCAGCAGCAGCAGCCCCTTCAGGCTTCCTTCCCTCGCAGCTCTTAGACCAAAACATGAATGATTTACAGTCCTCTCTACATGGTAAGTGTGTAGATTTCTTTGGTCTTGAAACAGCAGGCAGGGCAGGATGGCACCTTAGCAGCTAACTTATTCAGAGAGGCATAAGCTCTTGTAGGTGACAGCCTACTTCATCAGATGCTTTGTCAAAAAAAAAAGTAGGCTGTCGCTTATGAAAGCACATAAGCTTCAGAACAAGCAAATCTCTAAGGTGCCACCCTACCCTACCTTCTCCTGACTTCAGACTAATGCAGCTAACTTTTTTGTTGTTGTTGAGAGCATTTGTTAATGATGTTATATGGCCTCCTCCTACCTGATACATTATTGATTGTTTATAGTGTCTGTTGTAGCCTGAGATACAGGCAGAATGTCATTGTTTCAAGTGGTGAATGGGGTATGAAATGCTTGAGTTACACATTCACCTTTCCAGCCGTAAAATAGCCAGGCTTTCAGCTACTAGTGAATCAAGGACCTACAAAATAACATGGCAGAAAGCCAGTTTATTATGTGGAATAGCTTGGTTGAGATCTTAATGCATTTTCTTTTAAAATTAATGAAAAATGTTTCTTTGATTGCATTAACTATTTTAGCTGCTATTTCTTTGTGCTAGGGAAACAACAGGAAAGTGACCGCCAAAAAAAAAGATTTTTTCCAATACTTAATATTTTCAAAGAAACAAGTAAGAAGCTATGTTTTATTTGCTTTATTTTTATATCCCCTGTCCATGGTACATGTCCAGGTGTACTAATATGGCACAACCACACATTACATTAAGGCTAAGTACAGACATTCAAAAAGCCTGAGGTGGATTTGATCTAAGTTATGTGTTTTTGTAAGTGACGTAGTTTAGGTCAGTAGTGAACAGAACACAAATTCATCCTTTGGTGGGCGGGGGAGGTACAGGGAGGCAGCAAATCTTAGACTAGGTTCCACCATTTTTAAACTAGTCTGTGCACATCGAACTTCTGTTCTTTTACTGGTATAGATCAGTTTCTGATCACTTATACCAGTAAAAATGTAATGTCTGTACCTGACCCTAATGACCCCGGCCAGTTGGGCAAGTCTCAGAGACAGTCCAAGTATCTGCTCTTCTGATTATCTTTGCAATGACTATCCAATAGCCACCCTGCCAGCTGGCCAACTGTGATGTTGGTGACGTCCATCCTAAGGCTTTTTGCAGTATTTTGCATGTTATCTTTACATCAAAGAATTGGAAAAGGATAAATGAGGGTATTAAGACAGTTAAACAACGAGACTATAGGTATAAAGAGAGATTACAGAAATTTACTTCTGTGTTCACTTAAAAAATTAAACATGTATGTTGATTATAGGAAGACTGTATCAGTGCCTTAACAAATTATAACAAACTTTCTGTCATAAAACCTCCAGTGATGCCTATTCAAACTTAGAAAGAACCAGGAAGATAACCTGTCTTGACACAAAGTAATAAATGTGTTGGAACAAACTACACAAAGTAGCAAAAAGAAACCCCATTTTGATATGTTCTTTAATGTTGACAAGGTGTTGAAAGAAAAATGTGTTTTGGGTTGTAAATGCCAAAAAGGTAAAGCTTGCTTCCATCTTTGAATATTTAATGATGCATTTAATTTATGGGATGCACTGAGGTTGAATTTTAAAACCTGGACATGATTTCAGCTTCCATTTCCCTTGGTTACAACTTTTAGAATTTTAATTATGTTTTTGAAGTGCTAAGAACACATAATTGCAGTGGTGCCCCCAGATCTTTGGATAGGAAAAGTCTGTTCATGGTTTGAAAGAGAAAAATACTGTTTAGGTTGAAAGGGCATTTCAGAGACTTGGGACTGCAGAGATCAAAAATACAGACTGCTGAATGTTTTAGGGACCAACAGTTTTTGATCTAAAGAGAATGACTGCTGTAAATGGGGAAGATTGAACCTCTTTTATCTTATGCCATGAAAAACAATGCATTCTGAATTTATAACGCTCTCCTGAGCTGTGTGTGCGTGGGATCCGATAGAAAAAGGGATTGTGTAGTTATGCCTATGCTGTAATGTTTTTGTGGTTTATTAATCAAGATAAACTATTTCCTACTGCCTCTTATAACCCAGCCCCTCAACATGGATGTCATGTGTATAAAGTAGCTAGGAATAAATTTGTTCTGGAAAAATGAGAATGTTTCCAACCAACAGTGAGGTTCTGGAACCCAGGAACAAGTAGTACAGAAAAACTTAGGTGATTATAAGGTGGAGTTTAATGCATTTTATGAAGTGTGACTTGGTTTCCTGTGATAGAACGTGAACGCACTTGAGGACCCAGAAAGTCCATTCCATTCCCGAGTTCCTAACCTGATCTATACCTCTTTATTAGATAAGAATTCTTTACTAGAATCCTTTAGTGTCATTAAAGGGACAGTCTCAGGTTAAACATAACTTTTATTTGGTAATGATATATTTAAATCTTATTAACTAAGGAAACTGAAAGTGAAGGCTTAAAAAAAACAAGTTTTCCACTGTTAGTTTACTTTTCAGTTGACCTCTTAGACTAAACAGTAAAAATAGATTAGTTTAGCTAACTACTATTTAGTCAGTTTCTAGTCAATTTCATTTACCCATCATTGTGTGTTAGTAAAATATTGTTCTGAATTGTTATTTACTATTAGGATAATGTTGTAGCTGTGATGGTCCAGAAATTGTGTGAGGCAAGGATTTCTCATGGTGATATCTTTTATTGGACCAGCTTTGTGCTTGAGATAGAGTTAGACAAGTTTTCAAATGCAACACTCTTCATTAGGTCAGAGAAGTAAAAGCTAGCACAGCACAGGCTTTTACTGCTTAGATGGAGAGCACCTTACATTTGTAAGTTTATCTAACTTTATCCCAACTATGCAATTGGTCCAATAAAAAATATCACCCTAAGAAATCCTCGTTTATTTAGAATGCTTTCACTGGAATTAAAAAAAAAATGAATGGTCACAGACGACTGGTTTATATTTTGTCAACTCCAGCTGATAATTATATTTTAGATTTTGAACCAAATTTCATTCTACAGCATTCCTTTGAATGCCTTTGTCAATAAATTCAGGTCTTGGTTTGGGATAAGGAGTAAAGACTTAAAATATTAATTCTAATATAAACTTTAAAATGTAGAGTTTAAAAATGCATTTAAATATTGAATTTATGGAGACTTTACTGAAGAGCTGTGATATAAGCCCCATAGATGCTCTTATAAACCCACACGGAGCTTTGATCATCTAAATTCTCCTGTTCACTTTAATGCAGTTCTCATATACAATTCTTCACATGCTTCAAGTCAAGCATATGCACAAGTCTTTAGCACTTTACTCTCTCTGTGCTTCAGCTTTCTCAGTTTAAATGGACATAGTAATATTTCCTTTTCTCCCTTCTTCCCTCTTCTCAACCTGTATTTTGTCCACTACATTGCAGAGTGTTAGGATCAGATTGTCTCTTACTGTCTGTATATATGGCATCTAGCACAATAGGTGCCACTAGACACTATTGTAAATAGTTATTAATGATGATAATATAGAGTGACAGTTTTATTTTTAAAAATCTGAATTAAGAAATAATATCTCTATCAAGCTTTTTTTGCCCCTCTACAGATATAGCTGTCTAATTTGGCTGCCTTACTAAAGCATACCACTTCCTCAGGGAGCATTAGCTTTTGTTTTTGCTACGTTTTTAGTTCCGTTTACTTATTCATAATTTATTAAAGGACTCTTGTTTAAATTATCTCTGCAGACATATTTTTTAGTTGAGAAAATGTGAAGCTTTCTGGTTCCATTCCTAAATTTAATTGTGGTAACTTTTTTTTTAAACTTTCCACTTTTGCAGGGATGGTAGCTGAAAAGTAAGCTGCTTGGTTTCCTTACTGTCTCACTGATAATCTTTTGTCTAGTCATGTAATGAAGCCACTCTGTGCGCAGGCAAACCCGAACAGGCTCAAGGCCAACAGATGCTTTCAAATTGATAGACTGTAGTTTGTTTTACAAAGGCAAAATTTATCTCTTGCTATGGGCTACTAATAGAAATAGAGGACACGAGAATACTTTGTAGACACACACTGGTAGTCTTTTCAAGCAGGCCTTGTCAGGGTCTTATTTCATCAGAAAAACAGCATATATTATGCTGAAGGGGTTTGTTTATTTTTCTAATGTAAGTAGGGTGACCAGACCATCCTGTTTTTAAACCCTTTGGCTCCTGTCCATTTCTAAATGAAGAATGGACAGTGAAAAGTCCTGTTTTTCAGTTCCTTGGTAGAAATATACATCAATCATTTGTCCTTGCATTTCTATTGACTGTGCCTAGATGTAGGGCAGTGCACATCCACAAGGAGCAGTGGTGTGAGCCAGGGAGGGAGGTGGCCTTTCTGTGGAGGCCCCGCCCCTCACTGCTGATTGACCACAGAGGCCAATGCTCCCCATTGGCCAATGATCCCCTCCCCCCCAATCCCACCAAGGGGAAGCCCTATATTCTGGGGGTGGGTCCGTGGCCACCCTAAACGTAAGTGTTGAACTGTCTGTGTTCTAGGACGGTGAAAGCAGAGCAGGGTGTCTCTATCATAGGTGTTTGGCTCACCCAATCTTAGTCCAAGGACAAAAAAGGAAAAATCGCGTAAAAGGGTTTACTGTTCTACAGTGTTTAGTTTTGTGGTCTGCCAATCATATCATAATAAATCACCATTAGTTAATTCTCTGTGAGCCAAATCCTGATCTCACTGAAGTCAGTGGTAGTTTTACGGAAAGTTTCTAGGCCAAAATTCCATTAATTTCTATGAAATTAGGATTAGGCTTTATTTGCTTTACCCACTCAACCTAGGTATTGCCAGAAATTGACACACACATTGCTTTCAACACATTTCCGAGCTAGTGAAAGCATTACAGTTTTCTGTAATTGTAATATGTTCTTTCTTGTCTGTCTCTCTATTACTACAACCACAGAAAGTGCCTAAAATGTTAGTCAGTCTAAAATACTGAGTTAAAATTCTACATGTTAAATGGTTAAACTGAAACATAAAGCCGTATTTTGGGGGGGCTAGAGATTGACTAACGTGTTTCTGCTACTGTTTCCTTATTTGCCTGTACAATAATAGGTGAAGAGTGGACCTCCATCTGCTTTTTTTCCTTATAGGTTGTGACAGCCTTCTGCTAACGTGCAGAAGAAGGATTCGGTGACTTAAAAATCCTTATCATCTGTAATTTCTGTTATTATTAAAAGGGACAGCACATATTTCATATGAACTGGCTTTGGCTTCTATCATAAAAGAGGAAAACCACTCTATCTATCAATCAAATAGATAGAGGTCAGATCAGTACAGTAATAGCAAAAGACTGAAAAGAGCAAGAACTGTTATAGTGATGTTTATCTAAAATAGTCAACTCTAAAAGAAATCCAAGTGATGTAACCCAATGTCTATCAGAAGGGCAAAAAAAATAAATTAAGAGGAAGGACAGAGAAAGGAAAGTGGAATGAAGAGAGAAAAAGAAACATGGATTCATAGCAAGAGGGAGAAATGATGTCAAAGGAGGATATTATAAATGCCATAATTGATATATCTCAATATGTATTTAAAGAAATCTTTTCCCCAGCCCCCAAGTTTTTTCATTTAAAGTTATCTAAACTGATACTTGTAATTATCATAGGGCTGAGTTATTTAAATCCTTCAATTTTTATGCTTATACTTATGATATCATAGAATTAGGTCCTTAAGATTGATGGATGAATAGGTAAGTCTACAAGGAAAAACATCAAAAAAACATGATTGAATTACTAGGACCAATAAACTGCCTAGCCCCAGAGACAGTGCAACACATGATAGTTATGCTCCTAAAAATATAAAAATGGAAGGACTTAAATAACTTAAACCTCTTATAATTACAAGTAGCAACTTAGATAACTTTCAAATTAAAGAACTTTGGAGATGGGGGAGGAGATTTCTTTTTCCAGTATTTTTCCAGGGCATGTTTAACAACCAAATACAGTAGCGTATTGCACGTGAACATTTTTCTCCACTGCTGGTCCCATTGATTACATAACCTACTGTTACCTCACAGCAGAAGACATTTTCCTTTTAACCTATGGCACCTATGGGTTTCTTGGTACTAAAATGAGTCTGTTCTGTGCCATTGTTGACTATGGAGTCTGCGTGTAGCATTTGACAAAATGCAACTTTGTTTATAGACAGCATTGCTGTTTCTCTTGCAAAGCAAGTTTCTGCTTGCTGAATAGATCTTTATAAAGAGAGAGAAAACAATCCTTAGAAAAATATTTAAGGAATACAATTTGGAATGTCCTATTTACAGGTGTTTTTTAATCAGCTGGAATTTTCAGAATTATTTAAAAGAAATAGCTCAAGTTAACAGTGTCGCATTAAATATTTCACTTTGGCCAGTAAATAAAATGAGTCTCTGAACTGCAAAATAGAAGGGGAGTGGAGAGTGCAGCATTTGTCAGACTTTAGCTACTTCAGTTATTTCCCCCACCCCCGCACTGAAAATGTTAAATCCTTTTCACACCCTCCTCCTCCACATGTATACACCTAACTGGGGCTTCTGTGGTAGCTACTAACTGAGATGGAAAAAATATTGACCATAGTTGGAGGTAGGCAGAGTGCTCTTTAAGAGAGAATGGAGGTTTGACAGTGCAGATGGAAAGCACATGATGGCCTGAGACTGGTCAGCAGATGCACTGTTCTCTCAAGGACATTGCTGGGTTGCAGAATTTAATTTCTAATCTATCACAAGAAATATATTGTGATATGAGCATAACACATGGGTAAGGCAAGTATATGACTCCATTGAATGATACAAGTATTTCACTGAAAGCATCCAAGGGGTATGAGTTCATTAATTATTGTTGATTGACACTAATATAACTACATTATTGAATTTTAGGTTGGGCAGCTAACAGTGTTAGCCCTCCATCGATACCACAGCCAGCACAGAAATCAAACAGCTTGAATGTGAACACCAACAAGACGCCTGTGAAAGGTGATATATTCATTATTTTGAGGGGGAAGAGGGATTCTGAATCACTTGCAATCACAAATCCAATCTTTGCTGTATTCCCAGTTGCTCTACCACACTGTGATCTATTTCTTAATATTTACCTTCAGGAATCTTTTGTACATTAATTAAATACTTAATTATTGATTACATTCCAACATGGATAATTTGAATTATATAAGTATATTTATTTGTTGGTTTTAATGCTGGTGGAATGTAATGAACAATCATTTAGGTTCTGACTGTAGAGTAAAACCACTGGATTTCTTCCACTGTAAAATTCAGGGCCGTAGAGTTGCCTCTGCATTTGACCTGAACCCTGCTTGTTTTGAACATCAAAGAGGATAGCGAGGCTGAAGTGTGATACATTTTTATGATGTAAATGGTATACACCACACAACTACTGATCCGATTGAAATATAGTTCACTTGTTACCACCTGGCCCTGCAAAACAAAGGGTGCTACAAAACTCCCGTTGGTTTTGAACAGGAATTTCTAACAGATGGAGTCGAGTGCGAGTGAAAAGTTCACTGTCTGCGTAAACTCATCTTGCATGCACAACAGGCAGAATCCTATCTGACTTTTCTCGCCCAAATAGCATTTCCCCCACCATGTAACTGCCATGTTTGGCACCTTAGCACAATTTGCATTCTTATTTCTTATGCAGGGTGGGTGCATAAGCATCATCCTGGCTACCACACATGCTTGGCAGGCTGGACTCTGGCTAGGCAGGTACAGGACTGCCTATATGAGCATGAATTCCGAAATTGTGGCCTACCAAAAACCAAGAGCAGGGGAGCCTGGCTATGTGTTGGCCCAGTATCCAAGTGGTTAGGGCACTCACCCAGGAAATGGGAAACTGAGGTTGCAGGGCATTTCCCCATCCAGAGGGGGATTGAATCTGCATCTATAACTTCCCAGCATAGCGCTCCTAACACCAGGCCACAGAGTACAAATTATCCAGGCCTCTCTGCGGCGCTTCTTTTGAAGCTGAGCCACTGCGCCTGTCACTTACTGTACACTGGATAAAATGAATGGAGAACAGTAGGGAAGTTTACCCCATCAGGAGCAAGAATCAAAGCCAGAACCCAGGGCCCTTCACCTTCCAGAATAGCATCCATCTCACCAGGCCACTTGCTTCTTCTCTGCCTCCAGGCCCCACATATTTCCTACTCTTGGCTGCCCAGAAAGGCCAGCTTCAAAAGGAGTGCTGCCTAACCTCTGAACTAGTGGTTAAAGCATTGTTCTGGAAGCTGGAGTAAGAGAGGCTCAGATCTCCTTGAGGGGGGCTGTAGAACCTGGACCTCAGAGAATGCTCTAACCACTAGACAATCAGGTAGAGATATGGGAGGGCCTTTCTCCACCTCCACAATCTTGGCACCCACTAAACATTGTGGTTTGACCCATCTACAGTTTTGTGACTTACACTTTTCCACATTTCTGTACCTGCCCAGCTAGAGTGTGACCTACTACATATGCTCAGTGGCCAACTGGATGCCTTTGTATCCCCATTGCACATAGAATAGGATCACAAAGTATGCGGGAGTACCAAAAGTGGCAGCTCTACAGCTGGGTAAGTGCCGTTTGGGCACATGAAGTGAAACAGCTACTGAGCCAACACATAGACAGGCTTCCTCTAAGAGCTCTGATCCAGGAGAGATTAGTAATGGACTATCTTCTATACATTTTTGTTTCCTTGGGCAAATGATTTTTCTCCATATTCAGATGGGGTTGCCATTCATTTTAGAAATCGTTACGAGCGGGTGGAGAGGATGCAATTGTGATAATTGCATTAGAAAATTGCATGTATATAACACTGCCTCATTCACTCCGTTAAGCTAAAGGCTATACCCATATTTATGAAGGCAGCAAGGAGATTTTACTTTTCCGACAGTGGGCAAAGTCTTCCTCTGTAGAGCTTTGTGTTCATAAATTGTTTCATGAGCCAAGACTCTCTCCATTCAAGCTCCAGGAAGGCAGCACTTCCCATTGTGAGGAAGTATCTTATTTCATAAAGAAGATGAAGTACATCTGGGCTGACTCCATAGGCTGCCAAATACAATAAGTTGAGTACAGAATCAGAAATACAATTTCCTTCTCCATTCAGGAATTCATCCTAAGAAAAAGTACAAACAGTCTGACAGCAGCAAGAACCAAAAATATTGTCCAGTGCTACAAAATGAGCAAACTATCATTCAGAATCTTTTCTCCTTTTTCTGACTAAGCTAATTGAGGAGGAAACAGAAAGTCAGTCTTCACTGCCAGTATTCTGGATCGCGTGCTCTGAGCTTTCAGACCAGGCATGGAAGTGAGGCAATACTTATTCTAGTAGAAGACTCCATCTTGTTCACTGGTAAAAAATGCTTCAGTGGGCTTTCTGCTCCATCTCTCTCATAACTGAGACCACTGATAACCACCTACTCCTGCACCATCTACACAAGACATCATGGATGAATTAAACGACTCTGAAATGGCCTAGCTCCCTCCATTAAGGTTGACCTTAGAAGGTCATCAAAGACACAAGTTATACTTTTGGGTGAGGGAAGGGTTTCTTTGAATTCTTGCATGCTACTTGATACTGAAATAGGGAAAAGTACACACTTTCCTTTGCAGCCCCAGATGTACACTTGGCTATAAGAATCATAACATATGTGAGTTCCAGGCTCGTTTACTGCAGTTTATTCTATCTAAAAATGAAGCTGCTAACCCTGAAAAGATGCAGCTGGTACAAAATGCAGCAGTCTGTTAGTACAAAAGCACAGGTTTCTGTGAACACTTTTTCTCAAACCGTGTCCCAGAAAGAAAGAATGCAATTCAAGATCTGTCTTCCAGTATTCAAGGCCCACATGAGTTGGCCCTGGCTCCTCCTTTCTCTCCACAACTATGATCTCCATCCAAGCTCTATTCCAGGAGAACAAAGATCATAGGCTTAGTGGGGAAGGGAGGGGAAGAGCTTTCATAGGAATTGGAACCAGGCTCAGGTATCCCATACAACATGTGATTAGCTGTGGGACTGAGCGTGCCAAGAGCTGAATGCAAAACTCACTTCTTCTACTTAACTTTCCTTCACGCACAAATAAGCAAACAAAACATGTATGGAGTAGTTGAGCTATTTCTCCAATAGGCAAGAAAGAGATTATTTCTACTGGTAAATACCTGCGAAATGATCAGACACTTATCGTGATGGAGTCCATATAACTACAAATGCTACAGGCATTATTACAGGATTGGATATTTCATTTTCTGAAGGTACTGTGTTATAATGTAATTCATTGCCCTGTTTTTGCTAGAGATTTGCTGTTTCAGTAGTTAAACAACGCTGATGGCATTTGATTAGACCTGTCACTTCTCAGCTACTTTGAACATAATTCGAGCAAAACTCTGATTCTTTTTCCTGAACCTTTTTTTCCAGAACCTGCAAAGAATCCGAAAGATCTCACTGCTTGGTTCAGTCTTTTTGCTGACCTTGACCCACTATCCAATCCTGATGCAGTTGGGAAAACAGATAAAGAACATGAATTGCTCAATGCATGAGTCTGCTGCCTATGGTAACTCACATTCCTTCATTCATCAACACTATTTTTGGGTTTAGAAGACTAAAACAAAATCAGTATGCTGTTGTGAAAGTATAAAGTATGTGCCATTATAATAAAACTAAAGGGATTTAGCCCCCTTTTCTATAGGTACAATTATTTGCTCTTGTTTTGTATAAAGAGTTTGCATTTATTTTCTATGTGGACTTACAAAATGAAATTTTAGGGCAGATTTCTTGCCAAATTAGGATTCCTG